TCATGAGGTTTGCATTGGCCCACCTCTCATTTCTCTCTGTCCTTTCTCCGTTCACTCTGCGGCGTTATCCTTTAACCGAGGCATGAATCAGGCGCGCTAACTCCCGTAATGACGCCGAGCGCTGCTGCGCCAGTTTCATTTCAGCTCCTATCAGCTGGTGGTGGTGATCCCTCAACAGCCGTGGAATGACTTTATGGTTTCCATCTGCTCTGAGCAGACCACATGAGTTTGTAACCGAGTTAATTCAAACAGGAACGTGGGGGGATCTCCTCACACCACGTGCAATCCCGTTGCCGCAGGCTGGAGTGAGCAGGGATGGGTTCCACCATGAAGTAGACCAAGAACGGGGAGGGAGGACCATCAGCGGCGCTTGGACGTGATGGTCAAGGTGCAACCTCCAAGTGGGGAAGGGTTGAGCAGCCCGTGGTTGGAGGCTGGAGAAGTGTGGCCAGAGGAAGGATCCCTTTCTAGTTGCCCGGTGTTTTGGGGCTGGCCAGCGGGTGTTACTGGCGTGAGATGGGTGGACTCTGCTCTGACCCAGCTCACTGCTCTGTCCCATGGGAGCATCCGCAGAGGTGACACCAGATGAGCTGTTAGGGACGGGGACAGACCAACAGATTCCACGGGTTGGGCTCAAAAGTCGCGTGTGATTTTTTTTTAGAGGGCAGAACATGGATTTTTCCATCTTCTTCCAAGACGTGCTGTTTCCAGAAAAACTGAGCCTGGCATTAGCAGAGCTGCCAACTCCACCTGGGCTCTGAGAATTGGAGAGTTTTAATTTGTTTGTTTGTTTGTTTCTCCTTCAGGCTTTAGCTGTGGGAGTGACTCTCAGCTTTCATGTAAAAATTATCCGTGTAATTACGATTATACGTAATTATAACTATATTTATAGATATTCTTTCATGATTTCTTGTAATCATCAGATCTTGTCATTTGGGGGAGAGGGGAAAGAGAACAGCTTTAGCTGCATGTAAAAGAGGCTGCGGGAGGGGAAAATCCATAGCACGGATGCCTCCGCCGTGCGTCAGCCACAGAGGAGCCGTTTGGATGAGCTGGTCCCCGCCACACACCATGTCCCAGGGACGGATCCTGCACCCGTCTGCGTGGGCTGGGTTTGCTGGTTTGTCCGGGAGCTTGTGGGGTGGAAGCGCTCCTGCTGCAACCGGGACGGGATGCACGCGGGGCTGGATCCGCGGGGCAGGGGAGCGACGGCGCTGAGCCGAGCAGCTGGAAAGTGTCGGAGGGGTGGAAACTCCAGCAGCAGGAACTCCTTTGGGGTCCCAGTTGCTGCTGGAGGTGCTGGTGAGTGGTTTGTGCTGTTGTCTGAACACCTCGGGGTGGTTACACTGCTGCTCTTGTGGGGTTTCAGCTTGCTGGATGAGCGTGGCCGGTGCTGAGCTCGAGGAGCTGTTTCTCAGCGGTGGGGACATGGCCAGGAGTGGGCAGCTTCCCCGGAGCAGCCGGGCAGCGAGGAGCCGAGCCGAGGGCTTCCCGGCTCAGTGGAGTGGGTAGAAGATGAGGAGGACGCGAGATGGAGCTCCTGGAGGAACGGGAGTGGGCAGAGGGACAAGGAAAGGGTGAGATGCGGCTCCTGGAGGAACGTGAGCAGGCAGAGGATGAGCAGAAGGGGAGATGCAGCTCCTGGAGGAACGGGAGTGGGCAGAGGGACAAGGAAAGGGTGAGATGCGGCTCCTGGAGGAACGTGAGCAGGCAGAGGATGAGCAGAAGGGGAGATGCAGCTCCTGGAGGAACGGGAGTGGGCAGAGGATGAGCAGAAGGGGAGATACAGCTCCTGGAGGAATGGGAGCGGGCAGAGGGACAAGGAAAGGGCGAGATGCGGCTCCTGGAGGAACGGGAGCGTGCTGGGAGCCGTGTTGTAACACGGAGCCAGCTCCGGTCTCCAGCAGCCGGCTATGTCCCCCACGATGAGCTGCCACCGGCGGGTCCTGGGATGCTCCCTGGAACACTGAGGCTGCTCTGCTCCGCTGCCAAAGGAGAGGTGGAGCTGGAAGACACCGTGCCGTTGAGGTGAGACCCATCATCCGGCCTCTAGAGACCCGAGGCTCTGTAGGAGCGGGGAGGAAGGTGAGGTTTCCGCGTGAGCGGTGAACAATGCCGATGTGTGTGCCAAGGGCAGCGGAGCAGAGAGAGGCCACAGGAGGGGTTTCACAGCCTTGGAAAAGCCGCTGGTTAGCAAAGACGTGAGGATCTCAGCCCGTTCCCATCATCCAACGTGAGACCAAGAGGGAGGTGACCTAACAGGGGAGCCAGCCCGGGTCCGGGGGGAGCCGTGGGAGTGCCTCGGAAGTGGCAGAAAACTAATGACACCAATTAAACAACCTCAAATTAGATGGCCCCAGGCTGTGGCAGGAGGGTTCCTGTTGCCACGCAATGAGCTGTGCCCAGGTACCAACCTTTGGAACACACGGAGCCGTTGAATGAGGCAGCCGTCGCCCATCTGCAAAAGCCTGGCGCGGAGATACCGGGGGAAGAGCTGCGTCATTCTGCGGAGCGCTGTAGCCTGAGCGACACGGGGAGCAGGACTAAACCGATCAATAAAAGTTGGGAGCGGGACTAAACCGATCAATAAAAGTTCACGATCGAGAGCCACCTCGTCCTAACGTGTCTCATTAGCGCATCAGGTTGCGATACGGCGCCTGCCTTTGGGACAGTACGGGAACAAGCTCCCTCGGGAGCAATCTCTGTGTTTCCAGGAATTACTGATGAGCTGGAAATTTGTATTAATCTGCTGGGATCCTGGAAGGGGGAGCTGGGATCGTGGGGGGAATCTGCAGCACGGCGGGTTTACGGCTGCAGGTGTGGGTGCAAGCGCTGCCGCGTTGGCGTTGGCGTTAACGAGAAATAACGGCTTGACGGTGTCGTTCTGACACCCCACGAGTGCCCTGTGCCCCAAGGATTGCTCTTTGCAATACCCCCATCAGGAGCCCACCCAAACACTGCTCGTCGTTAGGACACTAATGGGTTTATGACTCACAGCCTGAGCACTTTGGAGCTGTAATCAGCAGCCAGGACTGCGCTGTGCAAACACAAAACCTCGGGGCACTCCCTGCTCCCCAGCGCTTTCCATCCCCACGTCTGAACAGCCGGCGAGAGAGAGCCCACGGGACAGCGACGGGAGATGTGGAAACAGCAGGCTGGTGCTGGTCAGTGTAATAACGTGGAATCGTAGAATCACCGAATCGTTAAGGTTGGAAAAGCCCTCAAGGATCATCGAGTCCAACCGTCAACCCAACACCACCCAACCCACTAACCCATGTCCCCAAGCAACACATCGACACGTGCCTTGAACCCCTCCAGGGATGGTGACTCCACCACGTCCCTGGGCAGCCTGTCCCAGTGTTTGATCATGTTCTTAACACACAATTATACTTGCCTGCAAAGATTTCTTCTTCTTCCATTAGGCTGTGACCATATTTGAATTTTTTTTTTGCTTTTTTTTTTTTTTTTTTTTTTCCCCCCCACTTTCTGGTCTAGGATTGAGAGCTGGGTTCATTTTCCCAAGGGTTTAGGGAGGGATTTCTCATTTGTGGCTCTTTGGTTGGCTCTGTGAGCATCGCTGTGCAGCACAGGCTGCTCCTGCGTGTGCGGGGACCGGGTGGCGTGTCGTGACAGCAGCCACCATGTCACAGCGTTCGCTTCCCCGAGAGCGTGTTTAACCAGTCAATACAGCTTCTTCTGTGTCACCAAACCGGAATCCTCGGGGGTCATTCACACAGGCTGGGAGGTATTTACCAGCCTGTGCGGTTGTGAAACGACGCGTGGTTTCCATGGCATCCCAACAACACCAGCAAACTGCCTGCGACATCTCCGGGGCGCTGGGTCCGGCTCTGGCTTCAGCTGGTGTGAAACTGGGTTTAAATGGGGAACGTTGGCTTTGCAGGAGGGGATCCAAACTGGTGACACTGGGAGCTGGGGAGCGTGGAGCAGGCGGGGAAATGGGGCTGTCCTGGGTCTCTCCTGCATTTGGCCAGGTTGCAAATGGTCCAGAAGAGAAAACTTGAATTTTGGATGGAAGACAGACTGATCCCTACCTAAAACCAGGGGTGCTGCATTGACTAATGAAGATCAGAAAATGTTTTTTTCCTTGCCCTGGCCCTCGATGGTGCAAACCAGGGTGAAGTTCAGTTCTCCTGCTGCTGGGCGGGTGTTTCCGCCGAGGCTCCGAGCGCAGCGTTGCCTTTCCCATAGTTTATCCGACGGCTGGCTCGCGCGCTGCCCGGCTGGATCGCTTTCTGGTTTGCATGTTGTGCAAAAAAAAATCCCCCTCTGCTGATGGGAAGGAGCTGAAGCTGGAATGCAGCTGGGTAAAATCCAGCAGCCGGGGCTTTCTTTGCTGGGAATTATTCTTGCCTGACCATAGGACTCACGCTTTCAGATTAAATCCAACCCAGAGCTGTTGCAAGAGCGCAGCCCGGAGCTATGGAAAGCAGCGGGCGGCTTGTTGCTGACAGTGTACGGATGAAACGAACCCTCCCCGTCTCCATCAGGTCAAATGCAGCCGTGACACATGAGTTTGCTTTACACTCAATGGATTTTTTTTTTTTTTTTTTTTTTTGCTGGTGAAAGCCGAGCCAGCGCGCAGGGCCGGGAGGAATCTCGCCTCCTCTCTCTCTGTCTGTCCCAATCTCCCCCTTTCCCTCCTGCAAAAAGAGAATTTCCTTTTAGTAGCTGGGCTCTCCAGCCAACTCGTATTCTTCCCGCGAAGAAGGAAGTGCATATTTGGAGTAGGCTGTGGCCAGCATGTGTAGCCAGCGTTATCTCGCTGTCCCGATGAGGGAAGGAGATGAAGGGTGACACGTTCAGGCCAGACTTTGAAATCTCACGGAAGATTTACAACCTGATAGTAAAGAGACCTGGCCCTTCAAGGCTGCTTGAAAATGCAGAAAACCCATAAAACTCATTTTTTTTTTCTCTCTGCATAGGAACCCAGGAATTGAAGCAGAAACCTGTCCCGTCTCCTTTTGAGCGTGGGTATTTCCATGTGCAAGGTGCGATCCCGGCTTTATTTTAGCACTAACGGGAGCATAGATGGCAAAACCCCAGTGTCCAGGGACGGCTGCGGCGTCTGGTGTCGGCCGCCCTCGGTCCCCTGCCCGGCGCAGGCTCGCTGGGTGCCGCTGGCAGGGGACAGCGTGTGTCCAAGGCTGCAGCCAGGCTGGGTTTATATTAAACTAGGCTGGACCTAAGCCGGGGCCCCACATTTCCTTTGCACAAGGGAACAAACCGCTCTGCAATAAAACCAACGCGTGTGCCCCCTCTTCTCCTTTCAATGTCCGTT